TCGTTTTTATTTGAAACTTCGTTTATTTAGAATATATTTTCGTTACCATAAAATAAAAATCTCTCAGTCAATCAGAAACCCGGATTCATGCCTTCGAGGAAGGTCCCGTTTGAACGCTCACATCGGTTTTTTTTTTTCGTTTGGGGGAAAACTAAAACTGGTCGCAATTTTCGAATAAGAATGAGTCGGCAATTTTTAGTGGAGTCGAAAATTTGGAGGTAAATAAAACACCGAAACCGGCAAACAAATAGGCGGCCGAATTTTTAGAGGGGTCGAAATTTTGGAGTTTTCACGGTACTGATTATTCCATTTCAATGAAACTTAGTACAAAGATGCTCTAGGACAATGTACAAACCTAATTAGTTTGGGGTAAAAATCTGTTCATATTAATTCCCTAATAAGCATAATAATTCATAATTTTTTGGTTCTAATCACATTTCAATTAAACTTGGAGACATAGATTTTCTGTTACATTGCGCAGACCTCATTAGTTTTACACTCAAATCTGGTCATATTAATTTTCTGATTTGCATAATTAGTTTTCAGCTAAGTAATTTCGAATTATATTTAATGTGTCTCCAATACTCTCAGCACATGGGAGTTCTTTCTAAGCTTTCTTTGATTTGTTGTTACTTTTGAACTCACCATATACATCAAGTTTCAGTTGCCATTCTTGTACCTCAGTTGTCAAAATTTCAATAATAGAAATATAAGTACAGGCAAATTACGAACATATAAACATGCACACACTAGTTCTCAAGAACTTTCCCACTGCACACCTCAGTACGCCACAGTCAACGGCTCTATCGTCTTAACGTTCCCCCAAGGTGACTAGTTGAACATTCATAAGCCAAATTCACCACATCACAGACAATGTCATACATATATAGCCAAGTAGGTATTCGTGGTCAGTATGACGTACCCAGTTAAGGTAGAGATGCAGTTTATTTTGCAAATTTTGACAAATTTCACTTTTTTATATTTTTTATGGCTTGTATGAACATCTGTATTCTGTGAAAATTTGAAATTAAAATCATTAGTGGAATTCTGTTAAATCCAATGGTGATGTAAATCAGCATATATTTTTACTCAACTATAAAATATACAAATTAGCAATTATCTCAGCTTCTTTTTAGTGCACATAACATAGCTCCTAGATGCTTTGACCTTTTCTATTCAAATGTTCACAAATGATTGACAATGTGTTTATCTTCAAAACGCTGTCGGGGCATTGTTTTTGGTTGAATAGTGTTACAACAATCGCACAGACAACTAGCCTGGGTGTTAATTTATGCATAAACTTGAATTAGTGAAATTTTAGCTACTGCCCAGCATAATTGACAACTTGTAGACATTTTTCAAGACGGCATTTTCTTCATAGTAAACCAATCAGCACAGGGTAAAAAAGCAATGTTTCAACTTAAAATATTGATTCGAAAAACTTGGTGGTATGACCACATCTGATTCATTCAAATTATTTGATTCCATCATTGTGCCAATCTTATTATATGGTAGTGAAATCTGGGGTTACGAGAACGCTCCTCTAATTGAACAAGTTCAGAATCAATTTTGTAAATTTCTACTCGGTGTGAGTAATAACTCAAGCGATTTATCAGCTGTTGGCGAATGTGGTCGTTTTCCTCTCTATGTTATTTACTTTAAAAGATTATCCAACCAACGTGTTATAGCGTCGGTAAATTGGGCTTTTAATGTAAAAATTTTGCTATTTTGCTTTGGATTCGGTCATGTATGGCTGAACCAAGGTGTAGGCTCGAAAAGTGTATTTCTTTCGCAGTTCACACAAAGAATTAAAAATTGTGCGCAACAAGTATGGCACGACGACACTGCTTCTTCCCCCAAACTCCGTTCCTATCTCGGTTTTAAGTCGTCACTTGAACAAGAAAAATATTTGTCTTGCATCCATGTTTTCAAATTCAGAGCTGCATTGTCAAGGTTACGTTGTTCTTCTCACAATTTGCATATTGAAAAGGGAAGACATGAAAATGTTCCCCTCGATAATAGATTGTGTGAATACTGTGTTGAACGAAATCAACTTTATGTTGAAGACGAATATCATTTTATAGCTATTTGCCATCGTTATCAACGTATTAGAGCAGAATTTTTGCCTGTATGGTTCCGCACCAACCCCACTTACAACAAATTTATCTCGCTCATGAATTCAAGAAACGATGTAATTTTAAATCAGTTAGCGAGTTATGTTTATTTCGCCATGAAAAGCAGAACTTAAATGATTTTTGTTTTC